ATATAACACAGAGTGAAAAATTTAAGGGGGTCTGAATACTTTCCGTACCCACTGTATATATTACATAACCATGTATTGATGCATTTTTTTGTATTACTATTATTATTTGTGGGAGGTTTTTTCATTACACCTTCCAAATGAAAATATAGACATTAATTAATAAAAAAAATTAATTACTTCTAGTCATTTTTAGTAGCTTAAACATTCCCTGTAGATGTTTTTATGATGTTTAAGAGATAGAATGTACGTCAATCCGATGTTTTTGAGATGATTATCGGATGTTTGTTCACACGCGCGCACACACACACACACACACACACACACACACACACAAAAAATGTTTAAAATAGAACACAATGGTTTCTAGCTTATGTGCTTCTTCACAGACGTCTCTGCATTGGATGAGTTTGATGGGAAAATTCAAAACCACATTTTCCAAATCTTTTGGTCTGCCTCAAACTCACACCATTAGTTGAGCCAGAAATTGACATGTTGGGCTTCTGAAACCAACAAAGCCATGTTGTAAAAGCAGCACAGAGCCGCGGTGTTTATAGTCAGTCTGTGGGGGAAAGGAACTAGTGGCTTGCTTATAGTTGTCTCTGCATATTTAAGTTGGATTAGGAAAAAGTATTTTAACACCAGAGATGTACAAACGGCACCTTTGAGTGCCTAGAAATGAAGATATCGATACTGTATGCAATAAAAATAGAGATAAATATATCATTACATAGCAATGAAAAATCTCACATATGTTTTTGGACATAAATATAGTCTAACGTTAAACTCAACCATCAAGTAAGTGTCTGAAATGGAAACCGCACCCTGTGGCCCGGCCTCTGTCCTTCCTGCTGAAGCATATGTAGCTGCCTTGTGCCATTATGACACATAACCAAACATCATACTGTGCATACAGCATAATAAATTCACTGTTGATCCTTGTACCCTTTCATATAAGTAAATATTAAGGTTGTGTGTGTGTGTGTAATTATTTATTTTATTTATTTTTAACGTTTGAAGTCACTAAGTTTATGAAAGAAATTAATACTTTAATTCAGCAAGGTTGCATAAAATTGATCAAAAGTGACAGTTCAATTATAATTGTTCCAAAAAATGTATATTTCAAATAAATGCTGCTTTTGAACTTTCTATTCATCAAAGAATCCTGAAAAAAAGTTTCCACAAAATTATGAAGCAGCACAACTGTTTTCAACATTGATAGTAATAAGAAATGTTTCTTGAGCAGCACATTAGAATGATTTCTGAAGGACCGTGTGACACTGAAGACTAGAGTAATGATGCTGAAAATTCAGCTTTGCATCACAGGAATAAATTACATTTAAAAATATATTAAAACAGTTATTTTAAATTAAAATAATATTTCACAATATTACTGTTTTTACTATATTTTTAACCAAATAAATGCAGCCTCGGTGAGCTTATGAGACTTACAAAATCTCACCAACCCTTTTGAACAGTTGTGTGTATATTCATTTATTATTATTATAATTATCATCAACAAGGATAATAGTGATTTGTTATTTATTGTTGTTTTTTATTTTACATTTGCTGAAATTTCTTGGAATTCACTTAATTTGTTTAATTTGTGAATTTTCACTTTACAATAAAGTATGCTGCTTCATTCTCTCTCAGGTCTGCTAAGAAAAACTGGGAGGACGACAAGAGTAAAGACAAAGCGCACTGTCTATGGGACAGCATCACCATGACGATGAAGCAAATCACACCTACGAGGAAGATTGACAAGATTGAGGGCTGGGAGCCGCCTCAGCTGAACGACGGGGCGGAGGAGGAAAAAAATGAGTCGGAGAAGAAGAGGAGTGACTCGTCCATGCTGTCACTGTCTCTGCCGCATTCTCTGGGTTTGCCGTCCTGGGTTGGCTTGGGTTCGGAGGAGGACTCGTCTCGTTATGCTAGTCTGACTGAATCACAGACGGGCGGCCCTGCCCAGTGGGCGGCTCGGGCGCGAGATAAATTAGCCGCCGTTCGTCGCCGAAGTCCAGCCGGCCTATCAGAGAGTAACTGGGAGGGGTTAAAATGATTTCCATATCAATGTCTATAAGGATGGCCACACCCCCTTGTATGCCAACTCTAATTGGACAGCCCACTGATGTAAAGATGTGAAGAGTAGGACCCTCAGACCAAGAGTGCCTTCTTCCAATGCCTGTCAACGATTTATTGTCACTTTTCCATTTGATATAAAATGAGCTTCCAACTTTTGAATGAAGCCTCCTCGTTGAACTCATAATAGTTGGTGTCTGACATCACTGACCAATCACCATGGCGTTTTGTAAATTACTTTTAAAATCTAAATGACATTTAAACCCTCAAAGAGCGAGTTCATCCAAAAATGAAAATATTGTCATCATTTATTCACCTATCATTCCAAACCTGTTTGTTTTTCTTTCTTTCTTCTGTGGAGCACAAAAGATTTAGATTAGCGGAATATCCCAAGAACCATAGACCTAGTCAGGTTAGAACCATAAACCTCAGTCAGACGCCATGTTAAATTTAACGCAGATGATAATGAGGCTTGCCATCTTTTCAATGGTACGTACTGTATACAGGTCCTAGATCACATCATTTTCACAACTTTCAAAACTGCTTTATTAAGTTTTTGTCTACTGAAAGACCTTTCGTCAGCTTAACAACCAGCATGTTTTTAAACCGAATGCACTGTACTTCTATCCCTCACAACCTTGTTTTCACCCCTGTCCAAAAATATGGCGTTACCCTGACCAAGTCTGTCTATACAATAGATAATAGACAATAAAGTATCATAAATATTGTCCAAATGACTTTATTATGAGTGTTTTTATTTTTCGATAAAGTTATGTGAGAAACAGCCTAAGAATAAGTCGTTGTTTACAGCAACAAGTCTCCATTCATCTTTCTCCAGTCATTTTATGAACAGTCAGTCAGTCAGTCATTCTGCTAAACTTCTCTTTTTCACAGAATAAAATCAAACTGGTTTGGGATGGCATAACGGTGAATAAATGATGACGTAATATCCATTTCGTAGGTAAACTCCGTCTCTTTAAATCTACATTTTATCAGCGCCGATTAGTCTGAGTGAGACTCTCAGCAGCCATAATCATTCCTGACGAGAGATCGGTGCTTTGTATGTAATGCTTGAATCTTCTATTCAGCTGTGGTTAATTCACTATAGATCAAGAGTCAATGTGAATTGATGTAGAAACGCCTTCCACTGATCAGTGTAGATTTACAGTCACTACTGCCTGCTGATTCACAATCATAATGTACTGTAATTACTCTATGCAATCCTTTCCTTGCTGTAATCCCAAACTACTTGCTATATTGATCATGCTAGCAATATATTCAGTGCCACTTTTCAGTCAAGACAATACCAATACAATAAGACATTTTCCCCAAAAGTTTTAATTATTTTAGGTAACGTTGTTTCTTGCAAATGCTTGATAGTACCAAACACATCCTACACAGCCATTTCAATGACATTTAAATTATTGGAATAGTAAAGGAATATTACAAAGTTCAGAGAAAGGATATAAAATACATTTGTTCATAAATAGCAAGGCTTACATTAGATTTTCCATCTGCCCTCGCGGCAGATTTGACAAAAATGTATCGTAAAAAGTTTTGTGCAACAAATGTACACTTTAGTGTTGACACATCAAATATATATGCACAGCATGACAAAACAACACGAGAGCTCACGTAAACATTATCTAAGACTACTTCTGACGTGCATTTCATTGGTATAGAAATGAAAATACATACATGAAAAGACAATATAATCTCTGCTTAGGATCTCTTTTCACTTCAGTTTATCTTTCCCAAAATCAAGTTCGTTTTCTTTTTTTTCCCATTTTTTAACAAAAAATCCTTCACAAATCCTGACTCTTTTTGCAGTTCATCTCCCATCTTTCTGTGCTTAAAGAACAGTTGTATGCAACACTAATATTATGACATCTTTCCATAAGCCCTTAAAGTTTGGGTGAGGCAACAGAAAATTCAGTCATTAGTTACATTGTCGGAAGATTGAACATTTAAATCACAGAACGACTGTCTGGGAAACGTAAAAGTGGAGAAGGACGGACATGGTTTGGAGTTGAAAAGGTGAAAATGTTTTATCAGTGTCAGAGGTCTTTGATTGCAGGTGTTCCAAAGGAGATCGGAAGGCGAGAGGTCCAAGAACATTCTGAATTTCAGAACTTGAAGAGGTCTATGAAGTGCTGTGGAGAGACAGGGGTGAGGCAGCTGTCCGGATCATTTGCTGTGCAAGGATGTCCCGAGTCCTGCGATGGAAAGAGAAAGTGGTCAAAATCAGATTCTGATGAAAATGTGTTTTTTTTGTTCATGCAAAAGCTGCCGCCTGATTTGTTGGTTGCTAGGGTCCCTTCTTAAAAAACTTTTTTTTTCTTAGTGTGAAGAACATTTTAATAATCTAAAGAAAGCTTTTTCACTATAAAGACTTTTGTGCACAGGAAAGATTCCATGGATGTTAAAGGGGTTATATGATGGAACATTATTTTGTGTATTTGGTGTAATGAAACATGTTTATGCAGTTTAAGGTTCAAAAAACATTATTTTCATTATTATTTTCCACATACTGTACATTATTGTTTCTCCTCTATGCCCCGCCTTTCTGAAACACATCGATTTTTATAAAGCTCATCGGTCTGAAAAGCGAGGTGTGCTCTGATTGGCCAGCTATCCAGTGCATTGTGATTGGCCGAATACCTCAAGCGTGTGACGGAAATGTTACGCCACTTGCCATATTGTGATGCCTTGTCTGGCCGGAGCGACGAGACAAAAACATTAAAACCCATTATAAATGAGGCATTTGTTGCATCCAGTGGGGACATAATTACTGATTATAATGACTTATACTGTATTTTTACGCGTTGCGCTGCATCGCGCCGCGTAAACATAAAAACATGTCTGCATTTGTGATCGGAGAAATGACAAACAACAAGCGCTACTCTACACTGCTCAAAACTCAAGTTTGAATCGTCAGTAGCAAATTCTTTAAATATAAAAAACGTACTTACGAGTCAGAAGTGTAGTCTACTCTACCAGGATCAGCAAACAGTCCTCCATAAAATGTGCTGCACACATCTGAATATTTGGGTTGAACTGTTCTGGAACAGTGTTGTAAATACAACTTAACCACTGATTTCTAGTCGTGTCCTCTTTTGGAAGGCCAAACTTAGTAGTTTCGCTTTCACAACGAAACGGCGTCACATACCGTGGCCTAGAGTGAGCGGAGGCCGGCTAGAGTGAGCAGAGGCGGGTGGGCTTGAGAACGGCGCGGCCGGCGGATTCGACGAAGAAGCGTCC